CACGGTCCTCGAACCCTGTGTTGTGAATCTCTGTTTCATGCATTGGGCGATATTGTTCATTCATTTTATTGAATCATTTCGTGATAAAGCTTCTACTCCACTGACAGAGGTCAACCATCTTTTTCTTGGACAACATCGATAGTTTTCATCCGATCTCGACAGCGTGCCGTCCGCTTTCCAACCAAGACTGTTTGTACTTGTATTAGCAAAAACTCGAGTTGAGATGAAATATCCAGCCAAGTGGCTCCATCTTGCAGGGCCTTCGTTGGAAGTTGATAGTTGCTCAGCTGCTAAAGAAATTACGCGGGTTTTTAGAACCAAAAGTTGAGTCACAAACTCCCAATATCGAAGCCTACACTGAGATCGCTGGATAGAGCATGCTCCTTCATGTTGCTCTTTTGTAGTAGTCTGGGTGACCCACGTGATCTCTTCCCTAAAATTTAGTGCGCATTCTCACTTTTACGTGTTTCGCCTAACTCATTCTGCTTTGTGTATTTTTTTTAACACTTTGGATGATCGATAAATTGACAGTTTTCTGCAATTTAAGCAGGATATCTTCTGAATTTTGACTGCTCATAACGTCAAAATTAAACATTTTTTTATCATCGCTGAATCACCACTACATTAGCTTTTATATACTTGACAGGTTTGTTTTGTGTGTGTGTGCATCACATGCTATAGTAACAGCATAGTTCTTGATTTTCATCATTCGCAATAATATAACCATTTGACAAAAAAAAAATTAATGCTCGTAAAGAACATCATAAAGTTTCTAAAAGTGAAGGTTCTTAGTCCTTGAATTTAAAGAAAATACAGGTCTTTTTTAACTGTATCCTACTGGCGTATCTCTTCTGTTCCTTCCGTTAAGTTCTGCTGGTCATTCAGAACGGCATATGTCCACTTTTCCTTCCAAACCGCCATGTTCATTGTCAATGAACGAATCTTCAAACGACCTTCTTTTGTCGATTGCAGGAATTTCTGTTAATCACCATGACGACGATCTTCAAGGTGAGATTTATGTTATGACGCTCTACTGAACAGCGCGAAGTAACAACTCGGCCTTGTGTTATCACAGACTTCTCAGCGGCTCTCAAAAGCTTTTATTTACAACAGATTTCAGCACTTGATTAACTACTTAATGAATTGTTTTATAATCTTCGCAATTTATTGAACGGAATTAAAAATCTTCTTTCTGGCGTCTCTTTCGTTGCCACCTATGTTCACCCTGTCTACCGTACAAAATATTTTAATCTATTTCCTTGTCTAGTCATCTTTCAGACTATCCTACTGGCCTAGCTGTATTACCCACGTAATTTTATTTATTGTCTAACAAGCTTACATCCAGCGTTTTAAGGGTTGTCATTTTTACAGTTTATGTTATTCTTTTGTTTTTATCACGCCTCGTAATGCATTTGATAATGGGTTTAAAGTCGACTCTGTTGAGCGGTTATTCATGATTGTCAAAGGGTCTATTACGAAATCATCTCTCGTTCTAATGCAACAACACGTCAATCCCTACTCTGGCGAATCCCAGCCTCCATTCGAATGGATGCCTAGGAGGTTTACCCTATGAGTTAAAACGGTAGTAGCGTGAAACTGACCACTCGTCTCAACGTAGTGACGAGTTACGAAAGTATGGATTTTTGGTTCCATTTTCCTTGCAGTTTACGCCGTCATGATCTGGTGCTGAGTCACAGGGGAAACCTGTGTGCTAACCTTCTAAATATTGTCGGGAAGGGTTATTCCACGTGCTGATATTGAAATAGTGAGCAATTAACATTCTTCACGTTACGAAAGAAATATACAACGTCTTAAAACCAGTCTCTCATGCCCAACATATTTCTTTAAAAAAGCGAAATCTCTCCCCACGTCTGTTAAAATTTCATGGTGATCAGTGCAACTTTCGAAATAAGTAATTTTCTCGGTTACTATGCACAAACAAAAGAAGGCGGGACCCACGCCCTGAAAATTTTCGCGGCAGAAACTGTAACTAAAAGTCAGCGCAAAGTCATTTTCTTTGTTTCAACATGCCGAATAATGAGAGATTCTTAATGATCGGAATTCCGTAAGAAGTGATGCTGCTGTTATTAGTTGTCTTTATTACATTATAAAACTTAAAGCAGTAATTTTCTTTAATCCTATTCAAAATTGAATCACATTGTTCTTTGGAGCAAGTGCATTCTGTAAATTAGTGAGATTGCTTTTCTCATTATATCTCATACGCTTGAGGTGTCAGAAAATGTTAAATTAATTTTATTTAATGCTTGCTTGCTTCAGAGAGGGAATTGAAATTTCGGATGAAATACAAGTGTCTCCTGTTTTCAACAAGTCACGACCCCCGTTTCATAATATCCGCTGCTTTAGAACACAATGAAACGTTGTTCAAGAGAAATCCTTCATATTTATATCTGTCATGTTGGCTTGTTCAGATTATACTAACAATTACTTAACGTTCTTTCTTGTAGTCGAGAGACAACTTTTTTCCCCCCACAGTTCAGAATTATTTAATAAATTTACTTTCAAACTTAATGTGATTTGCAGCGTGCAATACATGAATACTCAGCCGAAATATGTTCTCCCTATTCCTCTGTTCTGAACAATAACCTCGTGCCTTGAATATGGCGATTGTGTAGGTGGGAAGGTGGTATAAATTATGGGTAATCTGTAAAGTCTTCGTCATAGGACGTCTATTACTCGAATGGAACTGTAAGCCAGTTGATAAACAGTCAGCGAACCAGGATCCTTTTTAGAGATTTAAATATCACTGTCTATGGTACTTCAACAGTTTAAACTTTTTAATAAATATAAAAAATTAGAGTGAAAAGACTGTGTTGATGTATTTCCTAAAAAAAATCTGGGTATAAGGGTGACTACATTCTAAATCTCATTATTCCCCTGATCACAAAAGCTCTAGTATAAGAAACACCGGACGTCTATCGTGGAGAAACGAACACACACCAAACTCTTGGAAAATCTGAAGTCGATCTACAGAAACAGAAAACATCATTGAGGTCACTTCCAATAAAAAATCATTAGAAGCGATGATTTTTATTCACCTCAGCGTTGTCGTACGTTTTATTGACAAGACAAAGTCTGCATTCCATTGACCGGGGGTCGAATACGGCAATTCCAACTTTAATTAAATCACCACATTAATTAATACGAGGTTAATCTGAAATACACGTAAATCCACAGGACCTTAAACTACAATTTTGCCCTGAATGTCATGTTTTTTCCTCGAGTGTCCCTCTCACCTCTCAGCCGGCCGGCCATGCGGTGTGTAAGCTGGTAGGGACTGTGACCTCGCATTCAGTGCCGTATAAATATGACACCGGCCATTCAGGGTATCAGCACTATCTCACGTGTCACGATATACACTCAAGATCATGTCTAAGCTGGTAAGTCTGCTTAGTGGGCCGGAAATATTTGCTCGTTGAACCGACAGGCCGATTATTGCATTCCATACTCAGGACGGCAGAATAGTGTAATTAGTTTACGTGCCTGGATGTGGTGTGTGGTGTGGTGTGTGTGTGAAGCGATGAAATTGGTGTGACTTTCTGTGCGGTAATTTGTTTGCGAAGAATTATTGGATATGGGACACTAATATTAATGACGCTTAAAAATGTTATACAACACGGATATGGGCTTTTAATTCCGTGTATGGAAAATACTCACACAAATTATTCACAGTTAACCCTTCGAAGCCGAAGCTCGTCTAAATAACATCTAAACGTTCAGTCCGTACCGCAAAGAAAACAACACAATTTCGAAGATCGACTTGTTAATACGGAGGCGTTTTAATGATGTGTCTATAGGTGTCATAATCTGAGGCATCCTGGTTTATTTCGACACCAAGGAAATCATGGGATCAGCGTAAAGAAACACGTAATCAGGGTCTAGTGGCTGGACGCTTTCTTACGTAATATGATTGAGGAACTGGAAATCTGGAATTTTATAGTTATTGTAAAGCTGTCGTTAATGTGAAAATATTGCATTCAGCTGTTTTAAGAGAAATCAGCACATTGTTTCCGTTCAGTTGCATAAAACAAAGTTAGTGTCGGTTTTATTTGTGTAAACTTGGCCCCGTTAAAGACAAACATGTCGCATTGCGTAACATATTCATTTCGATTCAACGAAATTGTTATAGAGCAACTGAATTCTACAGTGGCAGGCAGACACAGTAAGAGTGTCATTTAATGGGACAGACCAGTCTAGCAGCAGGTGGTACCCTGTTTTATACAGATAATTTTTATGGGTTCACTCCTTACTGAACCGAAATTATAAATCTTGAAGATCTTGCGGCATCATTTTGTTTACGTATCTGTAACGTGCAGGCGGGTGTGCATATAAGCAGACATTATAATCATTACCACATTACGCCTATCGTATATTTGAATCATAATCATAATATTTTTAAAATGATTTGATATTTTATAATCTATACTTTATGGAAGCCATTTGGACTTAAAAGAGAGGAAGAAACAAATTAGAAAAAGAAAATCACTTGGAAAATTTCAGTTTATGTGCTTTTCACCAAAAACTGTTAGAGCCGTTACATCAAGAAGGGTGATGATAAATTTATACAAATTTTGGTAGGGAAATCTAAAGAGAAGAGACCACTTGGGAGACCTAGGCATAGATGTAAGGATTCTGTTGAAGTTGGTCTTAAATGTGTTGTTTGTGCGACAGCAGACTGGATTAATCTAGGTCAGCACAAATTTAGTCACGGTTATTGTAAACATGATAGCAAACCCTTCATTCACGTCCTAAGCTTAAGTCATATTACATGAAAAGTTATTTGTAAAATTCAATATTAACTTCCATTACGAACATTTAATAGCCTTGTGATTCAATTTAAACGGTTTCGTAGGTATAGAAAATGAGCAAACACATAATAACTGTTGCCTGTAGGTTTATTTTATGACACTCTAAAGAGTTCATGATATAAATCTCAGTCAATCTGAAAATATTTTTAATTTAAATTTTGCCATAAAAATAAAATATTTTTTCTTCTTATCGAGCCAATTGGCGCGGGAGGTTTCGACGCATAATACCCTCTTAACTCGGACTTATATTTATGATGGTTGTATTCAGGGTGTTACCGTACCATGACTCTGGTCCTACCTAAAAATATTAAAAGCTCCTTTCAATGCAGCATCGACATGCAAACAGGAAACAGAATTTGAAAATGAAAGTATGAAGAAAAACTCTATACTCAAATGTGGGTATAAATGCCGAGGATTAATTTCAGTATTGACAATTTATCTCTGAGATGCGTCAAGGTGTATTTTATTGTATTTAAGTGGCCATATTTCATATGAAATTAAGTTAACTCATCTGTAGTCCGATACATCAAAAGTGTTAGCTGACGGCCTATTGTAGGAGCCCAGGTGTGTTGTATAGGAACTGCTGAACAAACTAACAGCATTGAAACGGCGTCCGTTACAGTTGTTTGTCACGGGTGAAAGTGACGAGCGCTCTGTGGGTGAAAGCGATTCGCGGATCGCATGTTGCATCGAACTCTCGAAGTGAAACATTCTGAGCACCGCTGAATACAACTCGTCACTTCGTTACAAGAATGGCAAGTTGCAGGTTTGTTCCCTACGAGAACGCATATTTTCCATATTCGATCTTCGGTTTTTTTTTTTTCGTACATCAATGCCCTTGACGTTTACTTATTGCAGAAAAAATTCTAATTGCAATATTAATCATGTTATGAACTAACAAGATGATGCGTTGTCCTTGAAAAGCACACAGTCCGCTCGGCTAGTCAAGAAATTCCTCATTACCGTGTTGATAAAAATCCTCTACAGCTCCCTCTGTGACCCAGATCCCAAAACCTGTTTCCTTAAGGCCCACTTCAATACCATCCTCACACCTAGGTCTCCAACTAAATGTAGCCATTTCTTATCTCCCGCATGTGTGCTACATGGCCCACCCATCTTATCCTCACTGACGTGATTATCCTTATAATAATCGCTGAAGAATGAAAGTTA